CGAATGTAGAGACTTGCATTTAATAGTAAGTAAGTATTATGATCTTGATTTGTGAATTTTGTTTTACTGCTTTTAATCCTGTTTATTAATAAATGTCGTGGCTAAAGCTAGAAATTTTAATTATTTTAATATGAAGTTTTTAAAAATTTTTAGGTACATTTTCCTAGTTTTTTTTTTTATAGTTAGGGATTAGGGTTAGTTTTGATAATAAAAGAGTATAAGTGGATTTTAGTAAGGTTTATATTGTTAAATCGAAGCCCCTAATTTCCAGCTTCAGCTGCGACAATAAATTATAATATTTGTAGGTTAAATTAATGCGAATGAAATAATTTGTACATAATGGTAAATAAGTATTTATGTTTAACTTATTTACTGTTGTAATTTTTTCATTAATGGGTTTCGAAATTAACAACAAATTTTGCATTTCATAAAATAAATATGATTTTAAATAGTATTTTTGCTATGTCGAATTATAAGTCGGAAAAACATGTTCTTTTATTTTAATTTTATAATTATTTGTACATAATGGTAAATTAGTATATATGTTCTTCATATTTGCTGTTTTTAATTCTGTCTATTAATAAATTCTTTATACTTAATAAATTAAATGTTTGATAAATTTTTTTTAAAAAAATGTCTTTTATTTTATAAAAAACTAAGAAATTTACGTTGTATGACTTTAATTAATATATGATATAATAAAATTTAGTATAAAAATTGATTCAGTAATTTATTGGTTAATACAAGTCATTCTCAATAGTGAACTCTCATTATAGTATAGTAAAGATAAATCCCAAACCAGTCTATATAAAAATCCTTTCGATATAGTGAATTTACTAATAACCTCCCAGATATAATGAACTTTTAAAAATTTTTATTTGGAATGGATCACTTCACTATGACGAGAGTTATAACTTAAAAATTATTTAAATTATACAGCACATAAAATTAATTTTTCATGATTTGCCATGGTACCATAGTGCCATGAAGTCATAAAACATATTTCCTTTATTATTTATTTACTTTATTTAATTACAAAGTTTGCTTCTTATTATTTTAGAACAGGATCTAAGCAAAATCTTAACCTTTGAATAAATTCGGCCTTTTCTTTTTCATTCTCATTTCTTTGATTCTTCAATACTCATTGCGTGTTCTTTCCATTAACTCATTCACTGTAAGTTTTCTATTTTCCGCTGCTTTATCGACCTCATCTTTTTCAAAGAATTCTAAACTTACCAACTCACGATGTTCATAAATTTCGAGTTCATTTTCATTGAACATTTGTTGGAATTTTTTCCAAGTATTAATCGTCAACAATTTTCTGGAACCATATATTTGCTCGTGAAAGATATGCTTGCAAGGAAGCATATATTTGCGGAAAAAAAGGCAATGGCATTCAAGCGACATCAGACCAGGCAACCCTTTACCTTTCTCTATTCTATCGTTAACAGCAAAAATCTTATTAACTATTAATTTCTGGACTAGAAAAGGAAACTTATGAATTTCTTTGAGAATATCATTGTCGACACCAACAGCGAAAATTTTTTTAACCCGAAACTCAAATGCGACATAATCTGAATCTAACTGCTTTTTCAAGTCAAATGCAATAATCCTATTGCATGCGCTGACCAGACAATATTGAGGTGAGGTTGTTCTTTTTAACTCACTGTGTTACGACTCCAAAGCATTTGTCATTGTTACTTGCAAAAGTAGTGGCGAGTGCTGGCGGGCCCAAAGAGCCCATTGGTGAGTATTTTTTGAATAATATCTTGCAATATATTGTTTAATAGGGGAAAGGGCATATTCATTAATTGACTTTTGAACGAACATCTCATAACCAACTTTTGTTCGTTTATGCATAGCTTGGATCATCTTATTCCGAGTTTCTGGTTCATAAATTTTATTCATCCAAGTCTGCATAACATGTACAGTGCAGAAAATTACATCACATTTCTGTTCACCCTTTGTGAGACCTGAGAAAACTTTTATAATACTTTTCGCCTCTATGCTGCTTTGGTCTGCCAAAAAATAACAAAGTTTCCAGGTTCTACAAAATCGTCTAATTATAATTAACGCTTCTGCAACGTTATCGCTATTTTCATTGCTAACGAAAAAATGCCCACCAACGTCCCAGCACCCATATCCATCCCGAACATATAGCGTAAATAAACGCCAGTCATATTTGTTAATTTTGTGTGTGGAGTTGATAAGGGTTAGCCAACCATACCGCTGAAGCTTTTCGAGTTGTTTTGGTTGTGCAAAAACAAAACCGGAAGTAGATTGACAGTGGGTTTTATACGATTCGACCTGATATCCTTCTTTTTGTAAAAGAGAAATTGAGTCTTGGATATCTGGTGCTAGTTCAGAAGTATCAGTAAAATACGTATTTTGTGGCCCACGAACTTTATACTTTATATTAGCTACCTCCCTCCACCTTAATTCCTTTACACTCGTACCAAGGTCCAAATTTTCAGATGCGTACTCTTTAACTGCATTTACTATTGCAGGCACAGGATAATTTTTTATGGCTTCTTTTTCTACCAAAGTCCTAATAGCTTGGGGGTGCTTAAGCTTATCACTTTCATCCAAATTATGTGTGTGATCAGAGGAACCTTGGAACCATTCAACACACACTTTTTGCTCGGCAACATACCATGATACCTTTATTTTTGCATGGCATAAACCTGCTTCTCGAACTTTGGTCTTTCGCTGGTTCTTAATTGGAACATCTTCTTTACGCGTACTTGATTCAAAGTGCTTGGCAAAGCGACATACAAAGGTTTTTCAAGAATTTCCATTTACAAGAGTCTTATGACTATATTTCACCCAAAAGTTCGTAACTAAAGGCCACCATTCATCAGCGAATTCTTTCATCGGCACTTCGAATAGTTGTTGAACATTAAAAAGTAATGCATGTTTTTGATCACATGTAAGAGCTGCCATCAAGTTCGTTACTATGGTGTTTGTGGAAACCCTTTGTTGCGACAAATCCACTAATTCAGTTACACTTATTTGTAGGAAGTTCTCTTTGCCAGTGATACTCATACTCATTATTACTTTGCAAGAAGCACTTGCTATGGTTATGATTTTTTTTTTTTTTGATTTTTTTTTTAATGTTTTTTTTTTTTTTTTTTTTATATACACGGAAGACCTATTCTTTTAAAGAATGTTTATACACTGCTAGTCATTATTAAAATTTGGCTTGGTGTTTTCTGCGGGCTTTCTTTTTGCAGAGTCTTTTTTTCTGATAGCGTTTTCACCAAAAAGTGGGAAGAAGTGATTATTCAGATTTTAAGTTTTGCCAATATACCTTATATAACATATCGGTAAGTTATCAATCTTGAATTTGATTGGACGTTATTAGTAATATGATCGCTCCGGTCTCCAGATGATTAGGTCGGCAATCACGTGACCAAACCTGGCTTTAACAGATCCCCTAAACTGGAAGGTGCAAAATACAACGCCAAAAACAAAAAATGCTGATATGCAGCAAGACAAAGAAAATACAGTAACCAACATAAATAATAATACAAATCTAGAATACAACAACAACATATACGACCCAACTACAAACACAGAATCAGAAACAAGACTAAGACTAAATAGTCAGCTACAGTTTACTTACAGCCAAGCAGTAAGACAAAATCTAGACCTAGATCAGATGAGAATCGACGAACAAGAAGCTAAAGAAACTACAATTAGTTGGTTAAAACACATAATTCAAGAACTAGATACAAGAATCAAAGATCAATTCAATCACAATTCTTGGCCTATCGATAATATTATCAGTACACTAAATGATTGCAAAGGGATTAAAGACTTCATCTCATATAAACTAGACATACAGCCTACAAACCACACTATTCCTTCAGCAATTCTTCTTAAATTTAAGTTCCGTGATCCAGCTTTTTTTATATCTTTCACCAACAACAAACAAAGCAAGCCAGCACACCAAATAGAATTCGACAAACTCTTTAAAAATGCAATCAACAGATACAAGACGCATCATAAGATAACCTTGACAAACAAACAAACTCGAGACCAAATTCAACTTAAACTACGACAAAAACTAATTGTAAAGTACCTCACAAATCTAAACTTCTGACATCTAATGCCAGGACAAGCAACACAGGTGATCAAATACTGCAGAAACTTTATTAAAGCATCACAAATCGAAGATACACAACAACTACAAAATGCAATTTATCAGGTATATACAGTAGGGATATTACCCGGGTCAGAAAATCATGACCCGGGTCAAACCCGAGTAATAAAATGTTGACCCGGATCATGACCCGAGTTAGCAGATCAGGTAGGTAATTTTAAAGTTTATTGCCGTATAACAACCTTTACTTAAAATTGCCCTTAAATAAAGTTCAAATTAGTAATGCAATCATTATATAAATAGTTATTATTTGCTAAAAGCAAGAAATAAGCGGCGAGAATCTTATTTTATGCAATATCGATATAATCATATGTCCAATTTTTATAATTCATTTGATACGTTTTGAGAGAAAAAACAGCAGATCATTATACGATAATAAATTTTAAAATTACCTTTACATAAAATTGATAAAACGGCCCTTAAATAAGGTTCAAATTATCATTTTCATTATATTAAGTGAATCATCAAGACTTGAATGCCTACATTTCATTGTTATTACTCACTAAAAACAAGAAATAAGTGGTGATGAATCTTGTTTTACGTCTAATACAGCAATGTAATCGTTTGTTCAATTTTATCATTCCTTTAATAATGCGTTTTGAAACAAAACTTCAAGACATCTTTCACTTCAATTTTTTTGTCAGGTATTATGATCTGCCAACAATTTTTATAAACGATTGTCTTAGCTTATAAATTTGTTATTTAAAAAAAGGTCTTTTTTATTAGATCACCACTAAAATTTGGATAGAATCCAATTATTCAGCACTGACTACTATAAGTTGAACACGAATTTTATAAATCAGTTGCAGACTTTGAATTAACAAACAATTAAATCATGAGCGATAAATATTTGGATGATATGGTGTTAGACGATACTAATATAGGAGGGTCAGAATTCAGTAGTACAGAGAGTTTAAGCAGCAATGAAGCTTCACCACAGCCTTCTACATCACAAACTAGCAAGAACAATTTGGTTAAAAGACAAAAAAAAAAAAGAAAGACCAGACGGTAGCCCTGTTAAACTTTTTTTCAAAACTGAGTCAATTGATAATACTGAATTTTGGGCTTGCTGCCATAAAGTTTGTAAAGTAAAATACATAAAGGATAGTTCTACTTCGAACTTATGGTGACATATGAGAGGTAAACATCATATTTCGAAAGCTATGATAGAAAGTGGCAGAGTAAAAATCATAACAAAAGATAATGATAAATGTGAATTTTCCATAATATCTGAATCTTCACAACCAACAATCATACAAGTGTTTAATAAAATAAAAAAATATCCCTTTAATCATCCCAAACAGAAGAAACTTGATAGCAATATTACCACCTTTATTGTTGAGGATCTTTAACCGTTTTCAGTTCTTCAATCACAGGCGTTTAAAAAAATTATAGAGGAACTTGATGTCCAAGCCAACGTACTAAGTATAGATTGCTTAAAGGAACTTCTTATAAATAGTAAAGATAAAATTTTAAAAAATGTTCGTGAATATGCAATTAACAATACTGAAATTAGTAGTGTCTCGTTTACCACAGATATGTGGATCTCAGATAATAGCGATCCATATATTGGACTTATGCTACACTGGATAAATGATAATTTTCAAATAAAGGAAATAATTGGTAACATTTCATACCTTTCATATCCTCATACTGCCGACTGTCTTCTAAATAAAATAGTTGAAATTTTAGATAGTCTTAACCTTAAAAATATAACTGTTTGTGGTACGGTTGACAACGGGTCAAATATTAAATCATGTTTAGAGAAATTGGAATAAAAATATGGCATATATAAGGTTTTTTGTTACTTTGCAACTTGCAATTAACAATGCATTAAAAGAATGTTCTGAGATTACAACTTTAATAAAAAAATGTAAGGATATAGTATCACATTTTAGTGGCAGTCCAAAACAAAAGCAATTTCTCTTGGAAGCACAAATGAAAATAGAAGATTGGAATAAACTTCTTACTGTAATTCGTAACATTTCTACAAGATGGAATTCGACGTTCTATCTATTAAAGTGGTTAACTATTCTTAAACCTGTCATGTATAAGTATAAGTTACTTTTAGTTGAAGCTAATAACAATAATTTGTTAAAAAATTATGAAGAAAAAGAATTATTATCTAATGATTGGGATAAAGTAACCGAATTAGTGAAATTGTTGCATCCTTATGAAATTGTTTCTAAAAAATTATCTGGTTCGCAATATTCAACACTTTCACAAGCGTGGTTTGCAATTAATTTTATTAAGGTGAAGCTTAATTGTGCTATAACAAACGATACTAATATTCAAAAGTTTAGAAACTCTCTTTATAAATCAATTCAGGCATAATTTATTTTATTTTTAAATTTTTTTTGAGAAATTCGATTTTCATCCAAGTTAACGTCACCTGATAAACTATATCATTTACGTAATTAAAATTATTAGTATTAGTAATATTTCAGGTGACTTTAACTTGGGTAAAAATAAAATTTCTCTTTTTTTATTGTTATTTTTTATTAATTTTTTTTTTTATTTTTTTTTATGCTTTTTTTAGATATGATTTTCAGAACCATCAAAACCAATTCGGCTTGCTGCATTTTTTGACCCACGAACCAAAGACATGCCAATATTTACTGAAGATGAAAGAAGTTGTACTATTTTAGAAGCATGTGTTGAATTTGAATTAATTTCTAACTCTCATAAATTAGACACTTTATCAGATACAAAAAATCAAATAGATTTAACACTATCTTGTGACAAAATAAATGATGAGGATATTTTTGCTCTCCCAACAGACACCAGTTCTCAAGAACAATCAAGCTATCAGGATAGTATCAACTATGAGTTTAATTCATATCTTTTATTGCCTAAGGCAACAAGTAAAACAGATATACTTCAGTGGTGGGCATTACGAAAAAATGATTATCCAATACTTGCACAGCTTGCTCGCAAGTACTTAACCATTCTGGCAACATCAGTGCCATCCGAATGCCTTTTTTATCTGCAGGCCTTACTATTACTGACAATCGTACACGTCTTGATCCTCAATTTGTTGGGTCAATCTTGTTTCTTAAGGCACTTTAAAACTTTGGCCAGCTTCCTATATTTTTGAATAGGTAATAAAAAAATTTTTGAGTTAAAATTCTTGATTAATCATTGGTTTAAATATATTACAGTATTAAAAAATTAAATCAAATGTTGAATTCGCACTAAAAAGTAAAGAAGCAACTTATCGTATAATAGAAATCGCCTAGAGGTTTGAAATCACCTGGAGGTTTAAAATTGGCTGGAGGTTTAAAATTTCCTGGAGGTTTAAAATCACCCGGAGGTTTAAATAAAATCGCTGGGAGGGTTAAAAAATTTAACCTAATATGCATTAACCAAAAAAACATGATTATTAGATTGTATAAATTTTATTATTAAGCAAAAAAAGTGTGATTGATTGAATTAGAAATCTATTAAATATTTTATATCTAAAATTCTCTTATTCAAAGGACAATAAACAATAAACATTTTATATATAAGTAATGATCTAATGATTATCTTTGTGGCAATTGAAATCGGATAAATATGTAAATCATTTATTTTTAACATTTAAATATTTATTGGGTACGTAAAGTATATAAATCGATGTTGAATTAATAAATTTTGCCCTATTTAGTCAAAATTCGTTAATCTAGATTCTGACCCGTTTGACCCGAGTTAGATCAAAATTTGACCTGTGACCCGACCCGGGTAAGATCCCTAATATACAGCGAATAAACAAGACTTACCAGACTCATCTAAAGAAATAGATGCAGAAATAATAGAACTACTACCTTTTGACTTGCCAATTAAAAAGAAATCACTAACAAAAGCAGTGGCAATGGCATTATATATACTGTTCAACTTCACAACCCTATCAGATACCTACTTTACAGCCTTACCACAGCTATCTTCAAATGTAGCAGACATAAAAGAAGAATTAAAGAAATATTTTCTAATTACTGCACCAAAGCAACTAGCAAATCTAAGCTATCTAAGAAGCAAACTGGCAGATCACTACACTTTCTCAAGAATACCCTCATCATACTTTAATCTACCACCTGAAAAAGAACCGCTACCAACAACCTATCATCAACTGAATAGCCACGTGCGGGCACTGTTCCCATTTGATCCAGAAAATAGTTGCATAACAATACAACAAGTAGCAGACGCGCTGCATGAGCATTACAAATTTAGAACAATTCTAAACGACTATTTCAAACAAAAACTACTACTACCAAAACAACCTAAGGACATAAAAACCATCTTTACATACATATATCCTATAACAGAAGATGAACAAGCAAAGAAATTCTTAGCAGATGTGAAG